TCTTTTCTCCTTATATTCCAAATATTCTATAATATTATTATATTTATTTTATAAGTTTACAATATGTAAATAAAAATATGTAGATGTAACATATCTTTTCAGTTAGAGTAGAGATTTTACATTGGCTTCTTGATCACAGTTTATGGGTTTCATAATGTAATGTGCATTTCATAATGTAATTTGGTTTAACTGTTATATTAGGGGTCAAATGCCTATAATATGTTTTTGTTTAACTTCTAAAGTAAATGCAATTAGAAAAAAATGTTGAAACCAGGATGTCGGTAGCCAATCTTAATTTGCCTATTCTAACAATAAAGGTAGGATTAATAAAAGTATTTAAATTAGTATTTTAGTTAATATTGAAAGATCAGAATAAAAGTAATACCAAGGACAAGTAATACAATTGCTCTCATTTACTGAGTTCTTACTATGGGGGAGGTAATCATTTAATCACTAAAGCAACTCTGGAAGTGGATAATAGTATCATCATTTTACAAATAAGGAAATTGAGTCTTGCAAAGATTTATAAAGGTCACAGAGATCACAACTGAAAGAACTGTGATACAAACCCAGGTCTTATAACATCAATGCCCATGTGCTCAACCACTAAACTATATGGGTGTCTGTTTTATTATACTTTTTTTGTGTAGTTTGAATATGCCATTTTAATTTAAGTGATTAGTGAATGTGTTTCTTTAGTGGAGAGAGAATTATTTACCAATATACATAAAACATTTCTTCTTTGAATTCTTTATTAAATCAGTCCGATGTAGAAAACCTCAGTTACTTTTTTTTTTAAAGATTTTGTTTATTTATTTGACAGAGAGAGCGAGAGAGCACAAGCAGGGGGAACAGTAGAGGGAGAAAGAGAAGCAGGCTCCCCGCCAAGCAGGGAGCCCGACATGGGGTTCAATCCCAGGACTCTGAGATCACAACCCGAGTCCAAGGCAGACGCCCAACCATCTGAGCCACCCAGGAGGCCCATCAGTTACTTTTTTTAAAAAATTACTTTCTATAAATATTTTTTTACGTTTTTTAAAATTTTATTATGTTATGTTAATCACCATACATTACATCATTAGTTTTTTGATGTAGTGTTCCATGATTCATTGTTTGCATATAACACACAGTACTCCATTCAGTACGTTACTTTTGGATAGTGAAGTCATTCATTACTGAGAGCTCCCTAACTTAGGGTAAATGCTGGATTTCACTGAAGAGCTTGGAGGAGGATAAAGACAACCCATGATTGTTATCTTCATCAAGTTTATCTAGCTTACTAAGGAATATCTTCTTCCTCACCACTCCTTGTACATTCCTCTGGAAATGGTAATATTGATAAGTGGGGCCACTGTCTCTATTAGAAGCTACAAAATTGTACCATAAAGTTAAAAATAAATAAAATTATTTTCTTTAGCATACCTACTGACTTTACATATTTTTTGAATGTTTTCAAACTACAATACTAGCTCATTGAGGACATTTTTAAATTTCATTGTCTTCAAACAATTTATAATTTATCCATGGAATAGAAAATAGATATTGTACAAAGCAATTGGTATAAGCAGTTTGGTATAAAGTAATTGGTAAAACTTTGCTAAATCTATGAGTAGAATTCTGTAGAGAAAGTGAGGAAGAAGACATTAATTTTAATTTTGAATATAAGCACACAGTAACTATTCAATAAATTCTTGTTGAAGTGAATTGAAATAAAAATATACATGGTATTAAATAAGACATACTGTATAAACAAGCACTTTAACTCTACATTTTTTTTAAAAAAAAGAAAGTTTTGATATAAAATGTCAACACATCTTTATTACCAGGCTGAAAAAACTATCTTACTTTGTATTCTGGTTTTTCATATAACTTATTTTTAACACTTCAATTTTACAGTTGGAACCTGCACAGTGTGGTCAATTCTTAAATCCTTAAAGAAGTGTTCTATATAAGAAACCAGATTTCCTTACCACATAAAAAAAAGCCTTTGCCAGAGAAACAGCAATAAAGAAATATACTTTTGATCAAAGAAGTAGTATAATGTGATACCATTTAGTGCACATATATATGCAGAATAGTAGACTACGGGAAGCTGGACTAGTTCAAACTGTCCTTAAAACTAGGAAATCAGCATTTTAAAGCTTTTTTATGTTTTATAGCCACCATATTAAAGTAAATTATTAGATCAAAGGTTTTAACAGCCTTGTCATTTTATATGTATTAATCTTTTTAAAAAAGTCATTGGGGAGGGTTTGTGCTATGATGAGCACTGTGAATTGTGTAAGATTGTTGAAACACAGACCTGTACCTCAGAAACAAATAACACATTATATGTTAAAAAAAAAGAGAGAGAGAAGAAGATAGCAGGAAGGGAAGAATGAAGGAGGGGAAATTGGAGGGGGAGATGAACCATGAGAGACTATGGACTCTGAGAAACAAACTGAGGGTTCTAGAGGGGAGGAGAGTGGGGGGATGGGTTAGCCTGGTGATGGGTATTAAAGAGGACACGTGTTGAATGGAGCACTGGGTGTTATAGACAAACAATGAATCATGGAACACTACATCAGAAACTAATGATGTAATGTATGGTGATTAACATAATATAATAATAAAAAAATAAAATAAAAAAGTCATAAATGATACCTCTTTCCAATGAGTATAGGAACCATAAGGACATTAGAGTAAGATAGCAATTAAATGTATATTGAAATCTATTGGACATCTGTACCATTATGATAAAAACTATCATACTATCAGGACATGAGCTAATGTATTACAACAAAAGATAACTTAGAGAAAAACAACGATCTCCCATAGATTTTTTTAATCCTATAGAATAAAATTCAAACCTTGGAGTCAAACATCCAGTACCCCCTAAACCCTGTCCCCTACTTATATTCTCAAATCTTAACTCCCAATACTCTTGTACAAAAAGGATTTTCTCTAGAACTCGTCTTCTCTCACTCCCCTAAGGTGAATTCTCACCTTTACATTATTACTCTGCCTTCTTTCTCTTTTTCTATTTTCATGAATCCTACCTCTTTAAGGGAAATTTGTGGAAACAACCTCTATGAAGCCATAAAAAACAATCCGACTTCAAAATACAAACTGGAACAAGATATTTGCAACAAAAATAATCAATAGAAGAGTACCCTAACAGTGTGTAAAGAATTCATACAAAGTAATGTAAAAATATTAATTGTGTTTAGTTTGAATTCCCCAGAAGTGGATGTTTAGAAAAGATTTTAAGCAGTAGATTTAGGATATGGTCTCAAAAAATACTTGTCAAGGGTATGTTATCAGACTATTTACTGGTATGGACAACTGGACCTTAATCTCTCTGGGGAACTCAGGGAAACAGTATAAAATATGTATCACAGTGGTGTCAAATGTAATGGGTGCAGGAGCTGAGGTATTTATAGTCTTGCTAGTCATTAGTTGAGGGCAGTTCCTGAGGGACATTAATTTCTTATGATGAGGGACATAATAATTTAAGTAATCTTTATACACCAAGACATATGCTAAAAAAATATTTGCAGAAAAAATGTTTATAATAAAATAGAAACAACTGTAATGTTCATTAAAAGGAGAATAATAAATAAATTGTGGTATATTCATACAGTGGAATACAATGGTAATCAGTCATTGACATCAAAATGGGTGAATTTCACAATTCAATACTAACTTTTAAAAGTTTCAGGAAAATATTCATTCATCATTCAGGAATTTGAGAGGCAAATGGGATGAGGTAGTCGGGGAGGGACACTCAGAGGTTCTTTCAAGGTACCGCTTCTATTTATTAAATTATGTTGTGAGATACACATGTATTCTTTTAGATATATAACTTTTCATAACTAAAGATTGGCCATAGGAAGAGAAACTCAGAGTATCCCAGGAGGAGGAGGGGGGAAACAGGAAATGGGTGTGCTAGAAGCCAAGACTGAGCGAACAATCGATGACAACTGTTGCTAGTCAGGGCTGGATACAAAATGAAATGCAGTTAATGGAATTGGGACTTAAGAGGTCATTGGAGGCTTTGGCGAGTACTTTCAGTAATAGAGTTGGGGTAGATGCCAGAAAACAATGGCTTGAGGAGTAATAAAAAGCAGTGAGTATAGTCTTTAAATAATATTGTCAGTAAACGCAAGGAGGGAGATGGGCTGTAATTTGAGGTGAAGACAAATTTGAACATTATTTAGAAGTATTTTATAAAAGAACATAGTCTTGTCTAGACCACTGATAAAGGCATTTAAAAAAGTTTAAATAGAAATTCAGTTATAGGAAAATTTAAATATTCTAAGAAAAAGTCTCCAGAAAAATCCTTGAGTTAAATCTTTTTTTCAAATAACTATTTCATTCAACTGGTAAATTTTCCCAAAGGATAGTTCTTCAACTCTTTTAATGCCTCTTAAAGCATTTAGGATTCTGTATATTCATAGTTTCAATGTTACTGGTCATTTTTGTTGAAAATTAATTTGAACAAATTTGAATTACAGTGTACATACATTATCAGTTGGGGGGACAGAATACTTCTCCCTTCCTCTTGGACAGTTTTAGTCATCATTGCAATAACGTATAGACACATGTTAATGATTTTGTGAAAGAGTTAGCAGATATCTTGCCTGACTATAAATGTGAATATTCTGTTGAGAAAGAATATTAAATTTAAAATTACAAAACATGGCATACACCCTGAAATTTCTATAAAAAATATCTCACTGGTGTACCTAAGGTTAGGGCAACAGTAAGAGATGATGTCGCTGTGACATAAATCTCCGCATAGGAGAGCAGTGTGTAGGTGTGTGAATGCCATTTATTTTAATAACAGGCAAAATTTTCAAGCTGTAACAACATGCTCAATAAATTCTTCCATTGCTATGATTCCAAAGGAGAGTTGAAAAATGTATTACACTTCTATTTTCTCTCCTTAGAGATATATATTTTTGTTCTGTTTCTATGGCAACATCAATGCAGTGACTAAACCTTTAACTCCTTTCTAGACTCCCTGATGGCTTCACGCAGCTTCTAAATCTGACCCAGCTCTACCTGAATGACGCCTTTCTTGAATTTCTTCCAGCTAATTTTGGAAGGTAAGAATACAAAATTTAAATGATGAAATTTTATTTCACTTTAGGTAAGTATTTACCAGCTCCAGTAGATGAGGCTTCAAATGTGACAATTATCATTGAAGATAGGACTCATTATTATTCATTAGGTGAGACAATGTTAATTAATGAAACATTTTCCAAAATGAAGTAAAATTAGGTTTTTACATGTCACTAATAATCAAATAAATTCCAGGTGAATTAAAGAGTTAAATATACAAAAAATAATATCAGATGTAATCTGGAAAAAATGCACATGAATATTTATGGCTCTTGGGTTGGGAAATACCTCTACAGTTTAGAAACAAAGGAAAATATAATAAATGGATAGATATATTTGACTACATCAATACATTTAACATAAAATAATATCAGAAGGTATTTTAAAATTAAGGTAAAACAGTAAGCTGGGAAAACATTTCCACTATATATAGAAAAGCAAATTATGTCCTTAACATATAAAAATTCTTATAAACGAGTAAGACGAAGATCTCATTAGAAAAGAAATAGGTAAATGACACATACAAGTAATTAATAATTAATTGTACAAATTGCTAGTGAACACATGAAGTGTTTATCCTCACAAACAATAAAAATAATACAAATTAAAATGATAATAAAGAGCTTTGTGTTCTACCATACTATAAAAACTGTTTATACAGTATAAGGAAAAAAATCTCACAGCTGATGGAACTACAGAATTTTATCACCTTCATACAGAACAGTGTGTTTTAAAAGATTTGAAAATGTTTACAACTACGGCTTTTGTAATTTATTTCTAGAGTAAGGTAAAAGACTGGTTCCTTGAAAGTGAAATTATGGATAATTTTTATTTTCATCTTCATATTTTCCAAATTTTCCAGGTGTTTGACAATGAACTATTTTTTTATGTATAAAAGATATATCTTAAAAGTAAAGACATTTTATAAATATCTTCAACTGTATTTTTCTAAGTGATCACTTTTGAAATTGTTCAAATAGTAAATTGGGTATAACTCAACACACATCTGTTGGTGTTAAGAAGAGCTCAGTAGAATAATTAAGTACTTTAACCTGTAACAGCCACATTTTGTATACAGAGAGCATATCAGCATTTCCCAAGTTCCATTACTTTTGCAGATCATGATATCATACTACCTATGAACACCATATAGTTGGATAGTTTTTAAAATTCACAGATCTTCAAAAGAGCATTTGCTTAGTTTCTGAATGAGTTGGCACTTCACCATTTGTTCATATAAACTATCATTGCCGTCTGGTACTAACTGCAACAATACAAAAACTTTTTAGACCATACTCTTTTCTCTTAAATTTTTCTCAGTTGTCTTTTAGTGGTCCTAATGTCAAGGAAGAGATTTGGGCAAACAGAAAACATAATACCAAAACCACTTGGAATTAGAATTTAATTTTGTGTAAATTGTCTGCTAAGATATGCTCTACTTTATTATTATAGTCTAAAAAGATTTTTAACCTTCAGCTGGATAATGTAACAAAAGAATTATTGAATTTCCTTCCAAAACATGAGATTTGGTGTCCCTAAAAGCTTGAGCTTTGTGGTCAGTCTATAGACTATGACAGAGTCTGGATTGCATCCAGATTCATCTGACCACAAAGCTCAAGCTTTTAAGCACTATGCTATACTATTTGCTTTACAAGTTCATTTAGAGTCTCTTGAGGGACAGTATTGCCATATTCAAGTGAACACAGCATCTGGTATTAAGTAGATATTAAATAATCTGTTACCTAAAATTAAACAAGTGAATATATTTTTATAAAACATGAAATTTAGATTACTTGGACCCAATGATATCTTTGAATGATGTTTATTTTTAGTAAACCGATATTTGTCATTGTCCAATGTTGATGCAACCCTAATTATAATCAATTTGTATAATTCTTTAAAATCTGTAACCATGATATGTAATATTTAGACATAGTTGTTTGGATAATGCAGTGATAATTGACTTTCTCATAGGAATATTGATTTATAGAGAAATATTAAAAAGCAATTTTTTTATTCACTTCTACAGACTTGTCAAATTGCGGATCTTGGAGTTAAGAGAAAATCATTTGAAAACTCTACCAAAGTAAGTGACTGTGTATTTTGTAAATTTTGAATTTTATTTTTAGTAGTAAAAAAAAACGACTATTTTTATTTTGGTTATGCTTAGCCATTTTGACTGAGTTAATCTTTCTATAATTTTTTCCTAGAGCCTGAAAAGTGCAGTGTACTATGAGATTCATATTCAGTAAAAATCCATTGTGCTTTATAAAACTGTGTAAATACAAGTTAAAGTGGGAAGAGTCCATTTAAGTTTCTTCTCATAGGTGAACACGCACACCAGGAAGTTACCACATTGAAACTTATGAAACTGACATTTTTATAGCTCTAAATAATCAACAGTTTCAAAAGGTTCAATCTAATCATTTGGTAATTCTTCAAGTTAATTTATGGATTGTTATAGTTTTCAGTTTTTAAATCAAGAATATGCAAAAATATTTCATGAAAGTGATTAAAATTTTTCTAAAGATCCAAAATGGTTTGTCAGAAATTTTATATATTCTTTCAAACTGTCCTTTTTTACTAGTCTATTGAAAATTTGGTTTATATAAAAGCACAGGATATTTTTATGGGAAAAGTAATCCTTCAAATTGTATGCAATCTTTAGTTTAATAAAATACTTTGTTTCCTCCTGCCTTGCCTTATTCATGTCCAATAATAGAATTTTGTCTTGTACAGAAAAAAAATATTTTTGAAAGTCAAAAATTATTTAAAATGGGAAATTTTTACCCAAATAAATCAATATGACTTGTATATGTTACAATTAAATTATTGAAAGTACTATATTGCTATTATACCCTCCTACAGTATTGCAGAAAAATAATGAATACAGTGATTAATTTTCCAACATATAAGCAGGACTTTGAGACCTTTCAACTGCAGGACCAAAACTTAATTTTATTTTTTACTTTTTAAATACTTTCCGTAAGCTAACTAGGCTGAATTTCATTGATTTTGTTAACCAATATATCAATATAATACCTTCAAATACATTTCATATATGATATTATGTATGAAAATTCTGTCAACACAATATAAAAGTTTCAATAATGATATGATTTCTTTTTTTAAAATATACATAGAGATTAAACATCTATTCATTTCCCCATAAGTGGAAGACAAGGAGAGAACATGAAAAGGAGGAAATATCTCCAAAGCTGGACATCCTGCAATTTTGAGTAGCTTTTCTCTAAGCCAAAGCATTATACATAGGTCTAATGGAAGGCACCTCTCCCAAGTTGAGGGCATAAACAAAGATGGGGTATGGTTGAGAGTGTTACTTGTTTCGCAGTAATCTTCTGCAAATGCAGCTAGTTGCCAACATTGCCATCCCTAATGCTATAAGTGTCTACATTTAAAGTAGAATGGAAATATGGCTAAGTAGAAACCAAACCACAGCAAAAGAGCAGTTGTCCCCTTCATCTAAATGTATACGTTTAGGTCAAGAAGAAAATATTGAGTATGTGGAGGAAAATCCTCTCCCCTCTGCTTTCAAATAATAGTTTTGATGTAAATATAAAATAAATCTGACACAGATTATCAGTTTTTTAAATATATATATATATATTTCTAAATAGAAATTTTAAATACAAATTAAAATCTGACCATATATTGATAATATGGACTTAATATGAGGTAGCTGTGTTAACAGTTCAGAGTAATGATGCTCATAGTTGGTGCCGGGGTATTCTGCAGGCTTTTAAACTATGGCCCACTATCAAACAGAATAAAATTATTAGAATAATATGGATTTAACTACGTCTGGCATTAAAAAACATTGTAAAGATGTGTAGAAATGACACTGGGTCTCCTTGGCAGACCGTTATGCATGTATAAGTTGTATAGCTATTTTAGTTTTGCATTTTAAAAAATCATTTTCAAAGTTATATCTAATCTAGTATGTTATTTTTTAACTTATAGACAAAAATCTAAAGAACCAAGGACATACATAAAATACAGAGAACTGTATTTAACTTTGGTGTCTATAAAATGAGACTTGTGTAAACTTTTGTCTTGAATAAAAATAAAATTTTTCACTATGTATTAAATATAGTACCTTCTAATCACCAATTTAGACCCGTAACTAAGAGATATGGGAGACTTTCTACTATCTTTTATTTTTTACTTCCAATGAAAATAAAGGAAAAATGTCATTTTAGGGAAAACAATTTTAGTTTTATAATGATTACTCCAATAAGAGATAGCTCATGCTTTCCTCAGAGATACAAACAAGATGCTAAGTCTTTATTGGTTCCTCAGTGATTTTCTCTTTTCATTTTGTCTTAAAAGTCAATCTGTGCAATATGTGAAAATATAACAATATAAACTTTCTTAAACTGTTCCTTTATGATCATTCTTCTAGGTATATGAATGAGTGAGAAAATTAAATTCCTCAGATACACATTTGCTTAAAAATCCCTGAAACAGTAGGTCTTGATTATGTGTAATAATTGAGAATATTGAACATCCTAAAAAAATGGATAAACAAAAAAAAAACTTTTAGATTTCACGGTACAATTTTCCTCATAGCAGAATTATCTCCTAAATTACATTTTTTGAAGGGAAGTAAAAAAAAATGAGTTTGTTCCCATTTTGGAGTTTTTATACTAGCTATTTCTCTATCTAGAACTCTCTTACCACAAATCTTTGCATGGCTAGACCTTACTTATGATTCACATCTTTCTTCAGATGTTGCCTCTTCAGAGTACATCACATAAGTTTGTCCCTTCTTTGCCTTTATGCCATTCCACTATTCCTTTTGATTTTCTTTGTATTACTTATGGTTCTTTGAATTATTTTGACTCTGTTTACTTGGAGATGAGCTCCTCAGGAAAAGTTCTATTAAGAAGACTTTTTTCCTCTGTTTTGCTACTGCTGAATTTCCAGTGCCTAAAAGTGTATCTGGAAAATAGTTAACACTCAATAAATAAACAAGAATGCTAATATGTTGATTCATAATTAGAAATATCTGTTATATGACCTGGGCATATTGTGTCACTTGATTACTTTTCACCTTTGAAAATTATATGAAATATCAAATATTATAATCAGATGAGTCTCACAATAGCAGATAGCTGAGCTTAGATTTTTAAACCTACACATAACACACACACACACACACACACACACACGTCCTCCCTCTGGTGGCTTTAAGTTACACATAATAGCTAAGGCATGACAAGGGAGGAAAATAATTTCAAATTAAGGAAATTAATATTTATAACAACTAAAGAAACCCAAAAAGTAGTGTAACTTATTTCTTTGCTTTGGTCATTAAAATGTGATACATTTAGTCAAAAAACATAGTATTTGCCAAGATAAAAATGAAAGGATAAAACAATTTTTTTAAATGAAATTTAGGAGGTGCCTGGGTGGCTCAGTCAGTTAGGCGTCCAACTCCCAGTTTTTGCTCAGGTCATGAACTCAGGGTCGTGAGATTGAGCCCTTCATCGGGTTCCATGCTCAGCATGGAATCTGCTTGAGATTCTCTCTCTCTCCCTCTGCCCTTCCCCACCTTGCGCTCTCCCTCTCTCGCTCTCTCTAAATAAATAAAAAAATCTTAAAAAAATAAAATAAAATGAAATTTAGGAATTGTTTCCATGGAAGTAATCTAACAGCATATAAATAGTGATAATGGTGAGTTTTATTTTTAAATAAAAAATCCTCTTATTTGTGAGAATGCCTAAGGACACACACACAACATACATATAACTATTCACAAATGGCACTGAAACATTATTCCTTATCTGGACATTCTCTAAGACAAAAGATCCCTTGAATTATAAATATAAATTAAAACCAGAGCTACATTAAAGCATTATTAATGAGAGACATTAGATTAGGAAAGTCAAGAAAAGACTGAGGGGTTATTTCAGACTGAAGAAGACTAAAGAGACATTATAACTAAAAGCAGTAATTCTGAATTGTTTCTTTTGCAATAAAAAATTATTGGTACAACTGGTCCACTTGCATGGAGCCTTAAGATTATAATGGTAGCCATGTAGCAATGTAAATTTCCTAATTTGGATGGTTGTATTTTGATTTGGTTGGAGAATGTTCTTGTCTGTAGGAAACATACACTGAAATATTTGGAAATGTTGGGGCACCAGGATTGCAATTTATTCTCAAGTGGTTCAGAAAAGTTATTGGTACAGTACTTTGAAACTTTTTGTAATTTTATGATTGTTTTAACATAAAACTTTATTTTAAAAAGCTGTTTTAAAATAGAAAATCTTTGCAAATAAAAAGAAACACTATCGCCATGGAGAAAATGATCAGCTTCATTTTTTAAATACATGTGTGTATTGAGGACAAGGGGAGAGTTTCATTTATGTACTAAAATGACTCTATAAAAATGAACATTTTAGGGATAAAGGTTCTCCATATATGATGATATATATGTATTGTAGATTTATTATTTTCCAACCTAAATGGTAATAAATATGCTATATTTGTAATTATCACTCAAATTTTTATTCATTTGCAAATACGTGTTTTCAGTTTTCATGTAAGTTCATTTTTCTTTTTAAATAAGATTACTTTATAGGCAGATTACAAAAATATAATGTACTTGTCATGATTTCTCTTTTAAAACCTCTCTTCCTTTGTTATCTTTTTTACAACCAGTTATCACTGTCAGAATAATGAAGAAAAAGTCATAAAATAATATGCTTTCTGAACTGGACAGGTCTGACTAAGTCATTTTCTATTCTCATTTCAGTATCCTATTAATGAATTATCTCATTTGGCGTTACTGTACAAGTTGCTTCAATGAAATACATCAATAGGTTCCTTAGTGCTATTGTAACAAAAAATTCCATTGTCAGGCACAGCTTACAGAAAAGCTTTTTGCTGTTTCTATTAACTCTATTTTTGTGACTATAACACATAATTGGACACAATGTATTTTTATCATGTTATTACCTTATGCTTTTAGGAATGTGTATCAATTTATAAGGCATGGTGTTTTGTTAAACACATGGTACCATCCCATTCTGGGTGATCTTTCTCAAAAGTGACACTATA